CCAGGCAAACTTTGAAACAGCTGCTTATCAGAAAACATTGCTTAGTAATATCTCAACCCAATGTCATGGCTCTGCCAACTGTAGAAGAACATTTTGTGCTTACGGTCAGCATATACATTTGTATCATGTTAGCGAGTAATATTGGCTTATACATGTACGCATATCCCGTACCTAATGATTCTGTAATACAGGAATAGCATGATTATTTTTTCTGCTAGAGCTGTTAGTGCGGAATGGGGATCGTAAGCGCAGAATTCTGTGGTAAGCGGAGCCATAAAATTGGGCCCAGCTGGGAACCAGTCAAATGTTATAGACATCACACGAGTTTTTAGCTGGTGACCTTTTTTTTGATGGACAAATATTTTCTGTGTTAAGCAAAATTCAATGTCAAGCAGCTCCGTGAAATTGGCCTGAGAGAAAGTTGCTTACCCGGATCAACTGGCGGGAGCAGTTGTCGCTGGTCAGAGCAGTCAACTTATCTGCCATCTGACGCCAACTCTAAAATGCAACCAAACCAAATACACAGATAAGCTGCATGGTAGAACAAAGGAATTGAGTCACATGGTCATAAATTCTTAACCAAGACTTTTTGATCGCCAAATCATAAAAAAGGACAAAACACAGTGTCAAATTTGGTGGAACATGTAAACATTGTAGAATTGTAATTCAATGGGCCTGGGTTCTTATCTCAGACTTTTGGAATGTGAACAAAATACAGTAGTTTTGATGGTAGAATACTGGAATTGGGGTCCAGTGGTATTAGGTTCTAGACTATTTGACTGTCATGTCCTAAAGAAACAGGACGACATATCCAGCTATATTGAAAAGAAAAGTACCAGGAGTGAATTCCTTGGGTTGCACGGGTTCTAATCAGACAGCCTAGCCTGATGCCAGCTATTACAGATCCCATACAAAGGAATGGAATAGGTCAAAGGTCAAAGTATGGAACATTTCAGTGGTGATTGAGAAAAGAGAAACTGTAAAATCGTACCTGTAAAGGTGCTTGATGCTTCATTTGACTCAATGCCATGCCTGGATTAAACACAAAATGGAATCAATCAAAGAAGCATGCTGAGTTGAAGTGTGATACTCTAACTGTACATGTATACTACACTGTATAGTATCCTGTCAAATTGAGTATGATCAAAGGATAGAACATACAAAACTTAACATTAAATGAGTAACACCAAGAGTACTCAAATAAAAAGCAAAGATGTTTTGTGTTTGAACTAAAATACTCATAGGTCAAAATTCATACAAAAAATCATCAATAATTGAATGCACATAAATACAAATACATGTAGTATCTCTAAAGAAATTTACTGATAGGTGGATTTGACTTGATCTTTGAGCCCATTACCTGCTCCTCTGCGCTCCAGAAGGGTCAAGTATTTCTTGACAGCATCCATAGACTTGCTACCAATTCTCTTAGACATCAGCTTGATTGGGTAGCGATTTTTGCTGTAGTAAAGTGCTGTACCAAGTTGCTGAGTGTTTAATCTTTGATTGGATAATGGGAAAAAATGAATATAATTTTATAAAACATTTCCATGTTTAAGAATGAGACACTTATGGGTTGGCTTAGTAGGGTGAGGTTGGTCTTTCTCCAAGGCCATCATGGCTTATAGCCAGCATTTAGACAAAGAAGCAAAGCTGCAAAAAGCGCCATAAAAGCTGTGTTATTATTATGCAAAATTTCATGCCTCAGGAATGAAATTTTGATTAGTTTATATACAGTTTGGTTATATTGACCTTTTTACAGCATACAATGTGCATGTAATTTCCTGACACCTGAGGGCACTGTTGCTGTGACGCTAAATTGGCACGTTCTGTAAAAAAGGATATGTGTTTTTTTTAAATGATATGCCAAAAGTGTACAGTTTGTTAACAGTTTGGCTCAGTGTCAAAAACCTGATAATAATTTTGCATGACATTCTATTCAATAAAATACAAATATGTTGGTTCTTACTCTTGCAGAACTTTCAATAGTTTCTCCTTCTCTGCGGCTTCCCAATACAGTGCTTTAGACTTCTTGGATGTTACAACAAATGTCTTGGGTGCTGAACGTTTCCGTGTTGAACGCCTCACTCCTTCTGTGGGTTGGGGTCGATCTCTTTTGTGACTGACGGCATGACAACTAGCATCCTGGGTCGAATCTTCAAGATTCTTTGTCTTTGTTTTGTGTTTCATGATGAGCAGTTCGTTGTGATCTGTGTGAGAAAGATGAAGGCACAGGCAAGTGTTAAATGTAAAGATGTAATGGGCACTCCCCAGGGAACAATGGACCAACAGTAACATCAACACTTTTGATTTCTGTTGTGGCTATCGTTATGGAAGCCGTAATGCGATTTGCAACTGCTATCGTCACAGCATTGCAAAAACAACAAATGTTGGGAATCTAAATCACGTATAAACTGCACTTCAAACCAAAGCACTTTAGTCAAACGTTGAACTACCATGCCACAGTTCTCTGGATTGAATCAACACTGTGCACATTTTTTTACTTAAATGTATGTTTTTATTCAAAATCCTACTTTGTATTTCAATAAATTTTAGTAATCCATGGCTTTGTAGGATTTTTTTAAAAATAATAAAACCTATTTAAAAGAGAAACAGAGTCCAAAAACTATTTGGTTGTCTATATGGTTGATAGTCTGGTTACAAGAGACAAAGATCCTGATGTGGAATATTGTCAGGTCAAGGAACCAGATGATCAACTGGCACCATAAAGACATTTGATTGAATTTTCAGGTAGAATTGTTGGCAAGGAGTGCGGTGGTTTTTCATGTTTTTGAAGAAATTATCGACAATTTTGGTATCATTGGAAAGACATTTAAGGCATACTTCCACAAACTATGGTGTATGGGTGTGCATGTCTGACCCCACGCTAGAGACTGAGGCCAAACTTCACGATCTTCAATCCCGTCTGCAAAGCACGTACACATCACGCGTTTACATATGTTGTGTGCCAGCAGCGTGTGCGGCATTGTTTGTTTTTTCCTTGGGTTTCCCGGCCCCCATTCCATTCAGCATTTACCAAGCGCAGCAGCTAGTACAAATGGAAACTTTCATCTCAAGTTCCACATGGATTTCTGCACGCACTGTTCTCAATTTTTTTTATGATCGAGTCGAGTATTTCCAATCGATATTTTCACTTAATATTTTACTAGTTGGAAACTAGTGTTGGATTAATCACATTTGGAACAATTTGTGTTCGTTGCATGTTTAGCATGTTTATTTTTGTTTACGATGAACTGGATGGGTGTCGCGATCCGTGTCAGATTTTCAACAATTCAATGACAATGGGATCCGAGTGGTCCGTTGTTGTGTCGGACCCGCTGTAATGTTCTAGAATCGTGGTGCGGCGCACGGCGGGCATTCACCACTGCCACAACTTTAGAGATGGTCAAGAGATTGATTTTTCACTAAAATAGTGAATAACGAAAAAAAGCCTCCTGTCATCTGCATGATCTGGAAAATGTTTGGACGCAAATCTAAAACTGTCATTCTCATCTGCTAAAATCATGGCCTGTGACATCATGACCATGACTTAGAATGTCTGAGAAAGCATTGCTCACTGAGCATGCTGAGAGTCTCAAACTAAAAATAAGGATTTTTTAAATACACAAACTTATTTTTTCGTTTACAGCAAATCTAAAATGACCGTTGATAAGAACTGTATTAAAACGTGATCCAAACTAGCCTGAATAAATCTGGAATCCATCAGATGTACATGTACGGATAAGAGAAATGTAGGTAAATCTTGGCGTCAATACAATTTTCGTTCTCACACAAGTAAGCGATTTGAAAACAGACGAGATCCAACAAGGCGACCTTAGAACGAAAAAAGGTCGTAAGTAAAATTTGTTTTTACCAAGTTTCAACTGATTTCTCATCTACATGTAGGCCTAGTCTGAGGCAATTTTGTAAGTGTTTTTAATTAATCAGATATAAAAATTTAACCCTTTAAAACAGTTAATATAATAAGACACAAATTGATGTAGGTTTGCTTTCTGAATTTCCTGATTTATTTCTTCCTGTTCCTTCATCTGTTCCCGCTGCTGTTTTGACTATCATTTTATCAAGTATCATTTGGTTAGCAAGATACCGCTAATTTTGAACCCTGTTACACGAAAAGCAGCTGTCTGAAAAGGGGGGGGGGGGAACTTATTTTCAAATTGCTAAAAGAGGGTGAGTACTGAGTAGGCCCTATGCTTCTTAAGCGTGAATGGAAAATAAACTACACATAAAGTCTAAAAAGTAAAATCCAAAGTTGACAAAGTTCTACATTAAATTTAATTTTATATGTTTCAAGTGTGGCCTTGATTTACGGAGGTACCGGTAGGCCTAGGTCTAGTCCAGAAAATTGGCCACAATTATGGGGCTAGTAATAATTCGCACATGTCATGAGGTCGTCATGGTCGTGCGCTGGAAATCTTGCGCAAAATAAAGAAAAACATGTGTTTATTATAGCTCAAATGATTAAACCAAGGCATTTGTCTGGATCCAAATGATTTGCATAAAATAGTGGCCGCATGAGGTCGCTGTTCGCGCACTTTTTGTTATGCACTTGGAGTTGGACGAATACGACGAACGCCTTGACCAAGGCTAATTTAATACACGATCATGACGATCGACATGATCGACATCGAAAGAGTTTGTCAAAAGGAATACAATACCAAACGCACGTTAAGTAAAATAAACGTATGTAACATCACTAAAGCAACTGATTTGATAGTTCAAACCTTTACTTGGTCAAGTTGGTGGAAAATGAAGCGATGTGAACTTGAACATTTGCTTTGGCGCCACATGAGATACGTGCACGGACCCGGGAGTGTCCCAAATTACCCATGATTCATCACAAAACTAACTCGCAAATGTATGACGTCATCAATTCGTGTGCACAAATGAAATCCGAACTCCTCCGACTATTCTTCGTTCTTTTCCGTAGAAACCAATCCTGAAATCTGATTGGTCAAACGCGTGTTCGGCATTGTCTCCGGAAATTGCCGAGCGGATCGATCACGACCGTATTGTACGCTGTCACTATTATTGGCAACGAGAAAAAGGGATTTGCCAAACAGGACTCTGTACGTACGAAAAACCTTCGGAATTCCCTTCGAGATGACTTAAAGTTTGATTGGAAAATCCTTTTTGTGACGAGGGAAATTTCTTCATGTATATAGTTTCTCACGGAGGGAGTAATATAACGCTGAAAGAAGGAAAGAAAGCTTCTTGAACTAGTCCTATCTTTTACTCTTTGACTGGCGAGATTTTTTATCGAGTTTTAACCCTGTGAAATGTGGTCGCTGTCGACCATGTAACGGTTGGATTTTTCGTTATTTTTGATCATAACATAGACAATCTTAATTAGCGAGTTTGGAGTATGAGTGCAAGACCAAGAACAACGTCGTTTGCAGACGCCAAAGGCAACAATCCTGCGTTTGGGGGCTTTAAAATTTCACGTAAGTATGGGCAAAGGACGTGCTACTGGCGTACTGCTACAAACTTGAATCCAACGCAAAAATACATGTAGGCTAGTCCACCGTCCACAGTACAAACAGGCGCCATATTTGACGAGATGGTGCATCAAATTGTTCAAGTTTATTGCATGCTTTAATACCTTGTGCATTGTTGTGTTTACATTCCACAGGTGATGGTGTTAGCTATAAGGGCAAATCCAAAAATTCATGTCTTACTCTAGTTAGTTTCAGACTCCGGTCTCAAAAATGTAAAAATGCCTGTGTAGTGTGTGTATTCTCAATCAGTCATGTCAGTCTCATGATCATGATTCTCCTTGCAGATTAGTCCAAGACTAACCAAGTAACTTTGTCATTGACCCAACTTATCACCTTTTTTAACATGCGGACATGATTTGGCGACAGTAACATCAAAGGGAATCACCAGACTTAGAAAATAGAAGGAGGTTTACGCATTTTTTTGCCAATATTTAGAATTTTTTTTCAAATTCCAAGCAAAAAATCACCTACATCTATCATGTAGGCCTACCATGACCATGCCTACATTGATTTGTAGTTAATCAGATAACGACACCATATGTATCCTTTGCAGCAGAAGTTCCTCTCAAAATGACACAATGATCAAGCTGAACCCAAAAAAGGGTATTTTTAGTGCAACTCCTTCGGTGTGCACAACCGTTCATTTGTCTTCTCAGCTGTGTTGTGTACAAAATGGAGCCCGACCGTTTTCCAAACCCCAGTTTCAGCTCCGTATCCGGGTCCAGCCCCATGGCATTGCCAACCTGCATGAATGGAGCCGGCCAGAGACGCAGCTAAAAGCCAGGATTTGGAAAATGGCTGGGTGTTGTTTTGCTTTCAAAGGATGTGCTTTACAAAAAAAGTACCGGTGACGTCATAAAATGTTGGAACTTAGAGCGGCCTAGCAGCAGGTTGAAAATGTGAAAAATTAATTTTTAGTTGATGTGTGTGGCGAAGTTTACAGAATCAGGCCGGAAGTTACAATGAAAAGACCTAAACCTTCAAAATTGCTGAAAAATCAATCGCGAGAGCTATATTCCAGATGTTTCTTCAAATAGCTTTACCGGGTAGTTAACATAGCTCTCGAGTTTTCTGGTATAGTGGTAACGACGTCACAACTCACGTTGATGTCATCAAGTACAAGATTACAAGCAAAGATTTCTAGATTTAATCAGTATTCAATCAACTTTTTTCTTGCCATCAAATCGAACATACCCAACACCGTGTGGATGTTCCTACATTTTGTACAAACTCTAGTATAAAATGGCCCGACAGTTTGCAGCTGAAAAAAATTCAGAAAGAATGTTGCATCCTGACGCCACTTTTTTCATCATGTATTATCTCAGTTACTTTAGGTCAGTCATTGGAAAACTGTTAAAAAGACATGAATCTTGGACTGAGAAACATTTTCAATTTTGTTAGAAAATGCTTTGAAAATGTACTTGACACTTCATAGACTTTGTACACAAACAATGAATTGGTGTCTGGATACTACTGTACATTCTTTCCAAATTTTCGAACTTTGTAAGATACTGGACTACCGGTTCTGTCGTCTTTCTATCAGATAGATTTTGTTGACATGTTCATCTAGGCTGCTGATCTAGGCCTTGAGGTTAATCCATGTTTTACACAATATCTTCATAATAGGCCTATTTGTTACTAATACTGGCTAGTCAGGTTGGCGTAGCGGTACTTTCCTCACCTTCCACTGTGTTGACCCGGGTTCTATTCCTGCGTGGGATAATATGTGGATTGTGTTTTCAGTCCCTACTTAATTCCGTGGGTTTTCCTCAGAATATTCTTCTGGAGCTTTCCTCCCACATCTAAAACTGTAATTCGCTTGACATTGTCTTCTCTTTACTGGGACCCTCAGATCCATGGGAGACCAGTGGATTCTGCTGAATGTGCTATCCAGTTAATTAATAAGAATTAAATAAATGAATAAGTAAGCTGCAAAACTCGGTGTCAGTGTACGGAAATACTGTGTATTTCATTAACCATTTGATGAGTGTTGTCATCTGATTGACAATATAAGTTTTGAACAGTTTCATCATAATTCATGCACACTGAAAATGAAGTGCCTGGGAAAATGGTCAGTTGAGCACTTTCATTGTTAATGGTCTCTGAAGAAGTTGTGGTATGTAATGGCATGTATGCCACCTGGCGTAATAAGTTTTCTCTGTCCCAAAAAAGCTAATTGCATTTTTTAATGACAAGCCATTATCAATTGTTACAGTGGAAAAAATGGCATCTGGATGGTGTCTCACATGTATACAATGTACCAACCGGTACAGTATAGACATTGTAAGGTTGCTATCCTGAGGATTGTTGCCTGTGGACAAATTTGCCTTCAAATTAATCACTGTTTTCTACCTACATGGCCATGGAAAATCTTGTAAACCAGCAAAACATGAAAACAGGGAGTATTACATATGTGCATGTACCGGTAAGTTATGGACTATGACTATGACTTGAGTATGACTGTCACTTGACCAATCCAATAGTGCAGGATCCATCAATTTAATCCTGTTGGAATTGAGCAGTAAAACACCTTGTAAAATACATTCCTGTTGAAATCTGTTGGATTCAGCAGGCAACTGGAAACATTCAGAGTTAGATTCTGTTGGGTACTGGTAAATAGTTGGATTCTGTTGGATCCAGCAATAAACAGAAAAAAATAAGTCACAGTTGGATTCTGTAGGATTGAGCATGACATTCATTTGATATTTTCAGGTACCCAACAACTTGGTAAGTTGGATTGTGTTGGACTGTGTTGGATAGAACAGGAAACTCATATGAGTCACCGTCGGACTTAGGTGTTGGATTTAGCAGGGTAGTCCTGGGGAATTGTTTAGTACTGTTAGGGGGTTGGGGGTAAAAAAAAGGTTCCACTGAGGAGTTCCTTAATATACCTCCACAGTTACTCCACACAAACAAAATACAAACATTTGTTTCTTGACCACCTTTTGCCTTTAGCTGCACAAAGCTGTCAAGTTTAAATTATATTGTACTTCTTTGGTAGAAGCAAATTTGGTCAAAAATCAATTGATCCCACTTTCAATTACTGAGATGGGAGGTGTGGATTGGAGAGGAGATTGCTTTTCTGTTTTGTATTTTGTGAAAAGTCAAAATGGTCATTAAAATAATTGTCTGATTGATCTTTTACATGTAAGCCAACATTGTTTACTTGATGCAAGAGAAAGATGAGGATTGCTTGTTTTGTTTTTGTGAAAAGTCAAAATGGTCATTAATTGTCTGATTGATCTTTTACATGTAAGCCAACATAGTTTACTTGATGCAAGTGAAAGATGAGGATTGCTTGTTGTGTATTTTTTTTTATCATTGAAATCAATCGCTGCCGGTACCTACGGTACAATGTACAAGTATTTCAGGTACCGGTATTTAGATCTAATTGCATTTTGTTTTTTTCTGCCTTTAAAATACAAGGGGGGGGGGGCAGAGGGGTTAAGAGCAATGAGGATGAAAAGTGTTGTGTTCTTGGTAAGGCCAAAACAAAAAATAAGTCGGTCTCTGGTCAGCGCGCGAGTCGATTTTAATCATGCGCGTCGATCTTTTTTTTTCTCCAAAATGTTCCGCGGTAGCTCCAACAGCGCCCTCTATTTCCGCACCTCCTCAATTTTTTTACCAAAGGGCACCAAGGAATGGGAAATTGCACCAAGGCAAATGATCGAAAGCACCAAGGCAAATTATGGAGGACACCAATATACATGAGGACACAAAAAAAGCAAAATAGTACCCACCTTATCTGTACAATCCAAGCTTGAAGAAAAAAAAAAAAAGCAAAAAAAAAAAAAAAAGCCGCGTGGCCGCGTCAATTCCAGAACTTTGGTCTGACCAGAGACCGAATATTTTTTTTTTTGGCCTAATAGAACTTACATGTAAGTGGTAACATGTTTAGGGGTGAAGGTTTTGCGTTGGGATCATAAATATAGGTACCGGTACATGTACAGCACGATAACTGCAGAACATTACATGTACATGTACAACTGCATGTTGTTGTAACTGCATGTGTGTGTGTACATTGTAGACAGGGGTCAAGTTCAGAAATGAAGGATACTGAATTATGGTTAGGATTAGGACAGCGAAGGTAGGTCTATACAATGCGTCATGGTGTAATTATTAATATTATCGGGTCACTGCACTCAGTGTGTGCATTGGACTGGAATCTTAAATAGTTATTCTTTGGGAAAGTGGTAACCTGTACTGTCTAACAGTGCATTGACAGGATTGAATATTGAAGGGTCACACAATGACAAGGTAGGGCTGGTTTCTAAAAACCCACAAACCAATGTCAGGTTATTATTGAGGTTTTGGTCATTGAGTTTCAAAGGTGTTTTCGTAGAATCAGGGAAGACTAGCAGTTGTTGGGTTATAAATAAACGTGGTGGTTATTATTTTGCCAACTTTGCAGATCATGTGTACAAGAGGTGCATTATCACTGTTGTCTTTTTAGAGATGAATTGGCACTCCTTATTATGCTAACTTTGCTATGGAAATTATGTGTTAAACATTTCTTCATGTAGTTCTTTATAATATATGTCTTTGAAAAAGGTGAGTAATTAAAGGACACTCGGGTTCAATTATAATCAGTTGATCACAGGCACATGTGAATGGCATGTTACGTAGGGGATTACCTTGCTGCCGGTACCTGTATGCTAATTTGATGTTGGGATTTTAATTTGATATTATTGGGCTGAGTCTTCACTGACCATTGTATACAGTGCTACTAAAAATTAAATTTACAACCCCCAATGGCCAAAAAATCCCATCGTACAGTTTCATTGGGTTGGGGTTGATTCATTGAAATCTGAAGTTACTGTACATGTATGTCTTGAAGTGTTATAGCGCCATGCAGAGATGGTGTGCTGGCTAGCCTACAATTACAAATGCAGTAAAATTTGGCAAGCTGTGTACATTATGTTGTAGGCGCATGCATATTGTACATG